TGCTGATGAACAGAAACATTAAAATAAAAATATGCGGAGAACACACTTTGCAATTGCATCAAGAAGGTTGTGGCTAAAGTAGCAGAATTTCCAACTGGAAGTGTCTTTAGAAAATAATTATGTATTTTCTGATGTGAGAAGAAGCCCAAGATTGGTTCTGAGGCTTAACAAACCTATGAGAGACCCGTTATTTTGACGAGGCATCCTACATTTTGGAAATGCTTTATCTGTTTTGGTCACAGAATCAGTTACTGCAGGTGGTCATCATAACCAGTCCTTGCAAAAGAGAATGATGTTACCATATGGCTTATGCTAACTATATTCCTTTTATGGTAAGAGGGTCATGTTTCTTAAGCAAATGCTGCCCAACATCTGGACACAAAGTGGGTTTCTAATGACAAGAAAGTAGAAGTGACAGTTGGGTAGGTGATCAGTCATCTCTACCATGACAACCAAAATTTTCTCTCTGGGGATAATAATAAAAACATTCGATTGAATTTGGTTAAAAAAATAAGTCTTCATTGACTACAATCTACGCCACATTTGGAAAATCAGTGTGACTCTTCGAGAGCAACATATTCTCTTTAAGGAGAGAATGAGTGTTTGACCACCGCATGGGAACAAAACTTCTAATTTTGTTACATATGCTGGACAAGATTTGAGAGACTAACGTGGGCTTCTGGTTTTCATGACAACAGATTAATAAGTGGAATGTGAAGTAAATCTCAATAAGGACTCGTTTTAAATTCTAGGCATGACAGATCTCTTCCATTAAAATATCTTATATGTGCCCTCACAAGGTAGTTCTGTTGGTTGGAGCATTGTCCAGTCAACCAAAAGGTTGCAGGTTCAATTCCTGGTCAGGGCACATACCCAAGTTGTGGGTTTGATCCCCAGTTGGAGTGTGTGTGGGAGGCAACTGATTGATGTTTTTCTCTCACATCAATGTCTCTCTCTCTCTTTTCCCCTTCCTCTCTCTCTAAAATCAGTAACGACATAATCCTTGGGTCCTGATGAAAGGTTTTCTAAAAAGAAAAAAGTTAAATGCACATTGATACTCATCTGGTAGATCCATATGGAAGGAGGCCCTGATGGTCTCATAGCAATGTCCAGTGTCTCCAAACACTAAGGTGGGTAACCTGTCTGCTGCAATCATAGCTGGTTCAGAAGGAAACAGTCTCTGTACTCTCTGTACCTGTTTAGAAATCACAGCATAGCGCCTGTTTCCTTACCCACATATCTGTCGTTCTAAGGAGAGTGCCCACAATCTGCTGGGTAGGCAAGGGATTCAGGCTGCCCATAAATGGCACACAGGAGAGCAGTTGCTGTGGGCGAGCACAGAGCACCCTCATGACCCTCTGCTGGCCCAAGTCCAAGACGATGACCCATAAAACCACCAACAGGTGGTGTCCACCCTCATGTGAAATGCCCAAGCTCTAGTTGAAAGGGTGGGCACCCAGCCAGGAAGTGCTCTGTTAGGTTACACACATAGGATGTCAACGCCAAGAGGATCTGTTCCCATTTAAGACCTGACACTGGAAAAGTGGCTGATGGGTAGAGAAATGAGTTTCTTGTAGCCCAATATTTACCATATGATTTTGCTAGACAAACAGTGGTATGAGTAGAAGTTCTGTGTAGTGGAACCAAACTTCACTGCCTTTGGAACATACTGTATGCTAATTTGACTTTTCTGGACTTGAACTTAGGCACAACTTACAATGCTGCTTCTATAAGGAAATGTACTCTAGGTTCTAAACCACCAATTTATATACAAACTTCAGCAATATAATTCTCTTGTAATTGCTGTAATAACTGTTTTTCTTTGGGTAATTTTTAAAAGCCAAACAAACAAACAAAAAAATCTGTGTAAGTTCATTTGTAACATCAGCAATTGAATGATGTGTACAAATCTATAATGATTAAACTCACAAAATGGGAATTAATAGTACTGAGTGTGATAAGAAAACATTCTTAGGACAGAACTTAATCTGAAATGAATGCACTGTTAGGCAAAGAAGTTTACCTAACAACTTTAAGCTGCAATACATTTAATTGTGTTCAAGTATCTGTATAGAGTAACCAACATTTGAGTACAAAATCATACACCTAGTTAAATATGAACTAATTTGATCACTGTGAAAGCCTCAAAAGATTCTTACCAGTATTACCAATATTACCAGAGGAATCTGAGGCATATAGTGAATTAATTAACCCAAGATCACGTGGGGAGTCCAGGCATTTTACACCTGATTTTCACTTTTAATATCTACGTTTATACTAAACTTTTCGATTCAAAGTTTCACAAATCTTTTAGATTTTGCAAAGTTTTCCAAAACAGACTCTTTAGAAGGATTTCATTAAAGTAAGTAGTGCTTATGCATTAAGTTGGTAATAATTGTAGAAGTTGAAATTTATAGCTCGTCTCATATGCTTTTGAAAATTTAATAGTAAAAGTCAGATGCCATGATCCCACAGTGAAGGACGTCTGCATTGCACAGAAAAAGCAGACATGCAGCCCTGGCCGGGTAGCTCAGCTGGTTAGAGCATCATCCCGATGCGCCAAGGTTGTGGGTTCATTTCCCAATCAGGGCACATACCTAGGTTATGGGTTCGATCCCTGGTTGGGACGCATACAGGAGACAACTGATGAATACTTCTCCCCTGCCCCCTTCCCCTCTCTCTCAAATCAATGCACATATCCTAGGGAGAGGATTAAAGAATAAAAATAAATAATTTTTAAAAGTGGAATAAAATTGCTGTTTCTCTTTTTTCTCTCTAGAACTGGTAAATTTTAAAAAGATTTCAAAAGACTTTTAAAACTAGAAATGCTTCTATCACCTGAATACCTGTCCTATGACGAGTCTTCTGGAACTGCCAGCATCTAGAGATGCTCAAGATGGGGGGCTCTGTATTCAAAAGGCTGAGGTGGAAACAGTTCACCTCTATGACCCCATCTCATCTTTTCTGCAGGGAAGACAACCTCCATGTTGCAAGTATATTGAGACACATTGTTAGAGTTAGGAGCATGGTCTCTCCAGATGTAGAAGTCAGTTCTACCTGTGTCTTTCAATCCCAGCCTATGAAATGCAGATCCTAATGTCTTCATTAGATTCAAAGGTGAAATGTTTGAGCAAAAATGCAAAAATGCTTTGGAAAATATGTATATAATTCCCACCCAATATTTTAAGTAGTTGATCCCTGCCTCCAGGGGAGTAGTGGCATCAGATACTGAAATCTTCCAGGAGGTAGGATATGACCTTGAAGTCTTCAGACTTTGCTAATTAGGATGGTTGTCCTGAAGCACTTCAAGTTGTTCTCTCTAGTCAGGGAACCTCACATGAAGCCCTTCTTCTATGCTATGACACAAAACCAAGTGGCAGGGAGAGCGGAGCTCAACTATCCTCTACTACCACCTCCAGGACTTAGTAACCCCTTTCTCAAACACAAGACAGAAATATGAATTCTAAGGCAATGACTAGTACAAATTCTGGTTTAAAATAATTGATCAGAGTCTATTTGCCATTCAAATTATTTTCAAGACATACTGACATAACCTGAATGACTTTGGAAGAACTTGGCAATTCTACGGCTGATGCCCTGTCATGCTAAGAGCAGTAGACGTCTCTGAGGACTCAAAACAATGGGGAGCAGCACATCACTCCCCTCCTAGAGTGGGGGGAGCCCTGGCAAGATGTGCCCTGACTTCTTCTCAGGTCCAAACAAATCTGTGCAAATGACACTTCCAACAAAAGGGGTTGGCGTCAAATGAGAAAAACCACAAAGAAATCTCAAAGAAGGTAAGTGTGTGTAGGGGGGACTCTTAGGAAACCTGGCTACATTGAAATGTTGGGTTTCCTTTCCTTCTCATTGAAGATTCAGCCCCTTTGAACCCTCGATTATTCCCCCGAACCGAGAAGCATCTCAGTTCCTACAGAATATTTAAGACAAAATACCTGGTCTCAGCCAACCCCACATTGCACACAGGAGAATTCGATTCCTAGACGTCTAAGGACTTGGTCTAGTTCCCCCTCAATTTGTCAGCTGTGTTGGTATTTGTGACTCCATTGCTCATATCGGAGCTGGGACTGTAGCATGTTTACCTTTCATCTCATATGCAGCTCAGCTCCTAGTCTATGAGTGTCATTAGCTCAAGGGAAAGAATAATGTCCTGACTGTTTGTTTATAAGGTCGTGAACTTGAAAGCAATAGGCATGCCAAGAATTCCCTTTAACAAGGAAGGAGCAGCAACTGCAGTTCACCCCAGAAAAGGAGAGGTTTTCAAGGACCCACAGAACTAACTACTCAGCCAGGACTGGAGTGGAATCTTCCAATAACTGGGGACAGCCAATAAAGCCGATGGCCTGCTCCCAGCAGTGTGCTCGGGCCACGCCCTTGAACACATGGCAGCCTGGGGATGATTGATGGCATGGATATCATTGCATCAGACCAGAACCCCAAGTGACTGAAGAAGCAGGACGAAAGCCAGGATATCGACTTTCAGTAGATGAATACTAAGTAGTGTCATATACTGAAGCATTAGACAACCATAGAGTCCACCTTGCAAAGGACAGTTTTAAACAATATATGAGAGTCCTGGTCAAGGTTTCTACATCAGTCTGAACTGAAAGCCAAGAGCAAATCATCTTTTACTAGCTCATGTCCTAGAAAACTTCTTTACCCTGATTCAAGGACAAGAGGACTCGTTGCACAATTCTTAGGTTTGGTATAGCTCATAATGCCTGCATGTTTTCAAAACCCTGTCATGGATGTGAGCTGGAAAATTCCACATACCTGCAGGAAGTGGTTCCAGTGTTCATAATGCATTTAGGTTTAGGAATCATTTTGACAAAAACAAAGGTAATTTTTTATTAGTAAAAAAAAAAATGCCTTGTTTTAATATAACACCACCGTTTGGGGGAATGCACACCAAATTGTCCTTTTCAAAGAACCCATCACCATAGAAGAACATTTGCTATATTACATCTTGAGGAGCCAGGAGCCAGGCTTCCATACTGTACATTTGAGCACGTTTTCCTTAAAAACATAGAACAGGGCTTCCCTTCATTTGACTCAGCTCGGAGAAATTCTCTCCAACTATTTCTTGTCTAGTACAAGGAATAGTACATCAGAAATAGCACAAGGCAAGTTTACGTTTTCCTAAGAGCAGTTAATTGGAAGCATGAATTGTTTTGCATTTTTAAAACCCACACATAGAAACAGAAGTTATCATACAGTGCTTGCCTCTCAAGTGTAATGTTCCCAGAATGCTTTCTACACCACTGTGCACAGCACAGAAGAAGCACATCAGTAAGAAACAGGTGGGTGATCAGGGCTTCCGAACTTTTCAATGGGAGATCTGGTGAGTACAATATTTTTATATTTTAGAGAAATTGCTTTCTTCCTACTGATAATGTGTCCCTGAGTCAAGGCAAAGCCCCCGTGGGCACACCGCTTTCCACCCAACGGCAGCCACTTCCCAGGGGCCCAAACACACAAGGTCTCTTCTATTGGATCCTGCAGCTTTCCTGGGCCTCGGTACCAGCTTCCGAGCTGGGTGCAGGGCAGCCTCGCTTGGACCTCAGGCCCTCACTGGGGCTGTCAGTCCACTGTCTCTTAGGGATGTTACTGGCCGAGAGAGGTCTTGCTAGAGTGGTCTTGGAAGATGGTGCCTGAATCCGTGGGGCTTTGCTGAGCAACCTTGACCTGCAACACAAGCATCTTAGTTAGAGGCTTCAATGACATTCACATTCCTACAGCATGCAGAATATTTTGTCATCAAACTTCAAGGCAGATTCTTCTTCCCCAGGAGCTGTACACAGTGTTACCCTTTCTTCTCACCTAGGGACAGGTCCCACCTAAGAGCTAGGAAGAAATGTGACACCACCCCTGACCAGGCACCTTGCAAACCTTCCTTGACACCTCTCACGGCCAGAGACCCCCTCCCAAAGCTAGTATGACACTATCAAACCAGAGGGAAGCTCTTCCAGGGCAAAGACTTGGCCTCTTTACCTTTGTGTCCCCTGACTACCTAGCAGGCATTCCACATACACCTAAAAGAGACCCAAACCAGCTTCCGTTTAACTTACTGGAGCCACCACTGGCATTTGAACAAATATAACCTAAATGAGTGACGTAGGATGTAAGCCTTCTTTACAATATGCAAAAGACCTTCCGCCTGTCTTCATGCAACATTTTAATCATTCTCAGGTCATTGTTGGGGGCTTTCCAGGTCAGATCTGCATAATAGCAGAAAGGCAGCAATCTAATACAAAATCCAGGGGGTAGTACATCCCCGTTCTGATGGGCTGCCTTTAAGGAGAAAGGAGGAACTCAGAAAATGTAAGGCTTTAAGAAGCAGAAGAGAGTCAAGAATTTCTTGGAGGTTGACATACTAGTGAAAGAAGATAGTGGTCAAAAGAGAAAGAGAAAGAAGACAGATGAAGGACACAAAGGCTTCACTTCAAGGTAACAGTGGGAGATTCCAGGAGGAAGATCTTTAAAATGAAACAAAAGAACAACAAACAAAAAATCAGAGCACAGGCTCTAACAAGGGCAACACATGTCCAGTCCCAGCCCTGACGGGTCACTTCCTGAGCAAGTGACTGCCAATGCCCTCCGTGCAAAGCGGCAAGAAGAAAGAATGGCAATTATTCCTCCATTTGTATTCTATCCATAGGAAGTGTGTAGTTTTAAAAGGCAGCTCAATACTTTTCATAACAGAAAACACAGCCGATCTGGCCAACAGATCACATCCCTGGAAAGCCTGCCTGTTCCTCAGAGGATGTGCAGGACACTTAAAAGGGCCAGCAGCCTTGAAGGGTCAGGGTCAGGACTGAATGGGAAATTAACATACATGGAACGTTGATGAAAACAAACACTTTTACTAGTACTCTTTCTTTTGTTTTAAAGTGGAAAGTGATGCAAAAGACAGGCATTTCCCTTGAACCCATCAGAGGCTGGAGAATCCAATCTGTAGGCTCCCCATAAAAAAAAGAGAGAGAGAGAGAGATCCCATTGGGAAAGATAATTTGAGCTAGCAATACTCTTTCTTAACCCTAATTAAATAGTCAAAGTCCATCCCTGGACTTCCCCTGCCTCTAGGTTCAGTTTCTCTTATATGAATTGAGGAAAATATAGTTGGTGACCTGGGTTGAAACTATGGATGTGATCCTCAGGCTGGTTTCCTCAGACCTATGGATAACAAGCTGAGGTCAAATTCACCAGGTACTTAAATTCTTACCACTATGTTCATGTTCACACTGGGGAGGGGAGAGGATATGGATGGCTCTGTGAAAACGAACCTTATTAGTAGGGGAAGGAACCCGGACCCCCACAGAACTGCTGACTGACAGATGCTGTGGCGAGGGCAGCACCATTATCCTCTACAATGTAGTGGCCAATCTGCTGGTGCTTACCAACCCCAGGTTCAGATCAGGCTGGCACATATCACACTCTCTTGTCCCCAGCAACTGGGAGCTCCTGGGTTTATTCTTCCCAGACACATGGCAGAGAATGGTCCTCACCCAACCTGCCTTGTCACCTCTCTTCCCCTGGAACCTGCCACTGTCTTACTCAAAACTCAAGCCAGCCACATCAGGTGAGGCAATAATCTTGTGTTTCTAAGCAACTGCTTTAGAAAAATGATGCCTTACTCTATATTTTTCAAACTGAATGATGAAATATGTTTAACATATGAGGTGAGTGTTTTACAAGGTGACTCAGAAAATGCCGAATTAAATTAAAATTCAGGAAACTGGGTTTTAAAATTTGCATCTAATCACAAAGTCTCCTATAACCTCCTGTCCAGAGACCCCCTTCAGTTGCTCACGAAAACAGAACTGCGTAGCAATTCATAAAGGCTGGTGCCTCCTGTGGCTGCAGCTGAGACAGCGATCAGAAAAGGGCAGGAAACCCTGGTTAGGACTCCCTACACGAGGCATTCAACTGCAGTGTGGAGAGCACGCCCCCTAGTGGGCAAAGCCTTTTTCTTAGAGAATCAGTCTGAACTCCACATGCAACTCCACTTAAGCATCACCTCCTCAGAAAAGAAGAGGAAAGAGACCTGTGTGCTGATTTCAAGACATGATTCCCTAACACACTTTTCAAACATCTATTTCCTTCTGCAGCCACTTCGGGACAACATCGACGGCTCTAATCATTCAACAAATATCAGCTGACTGCCAGACGTTGCATTAGACAGGAGGACACAGGAAAACCACAAACAGGAGCCTCATGCAGCACATCTTGCGACTCAGAAGGCACACTTCTCAGCAAGTCATTGCGATAAAGTGAACCTGCATGACAGATGGAAGTGCAGGGTACTTACTACCTAGGTCACGATTTCCTATTTCAGAACCAAAGACCTCACTCAATCTCTGTAAGTGTGAGACCAGCAGATAGAACTTGGCATGAGCTGTGGAGTATGGAGCAGCTCCCACTCAGCCACCTGAAGAAATGCACAGCCTCCTCTGGGACCTAAACTGGACTCCTAGGTTTCCAGGGGTTGAGATCAGGGCTTCTCTTATGGTTAATAGCTTTGGTGCAGCTTGGAAGCTGCACTCTTTGGAGTCACTAGTTGCTTCATGGAAAAGAACCTGACATTCGTTGGAATGTCCCCTCTTCAGTGTTTTGTTGTTACCAGAGTTCAAAGGGGAAATCTCAATGGGAGGGAAGCAGGGAGGATGGGAGGAGGAAGGGACGGAGGATGGATGGGAGGGATGGGGCCATTGAGGGAGGAGGGAAAAACGTTGCACAAAATGGGAGAATATTTCTAATACAACTACCAGACGATCGACTTTAATGAGTGAAAGAAAATTTTGACCTTTCCTACTTACTCTTCAATTAAAAAGATTGTTTTGTAATATAAGTTATGGACAAACTTAATACTAGGTATAAATTCCTTAAAACTTAAAAACCTCATACATCAACAAACAAGTCTGCAAATACACATTTCTTGTGATTCAGCTAAGCACCAGCCTCACCGTGGTTTGGTCTCCAAAACCCCAAACACCCGCTCACTTGAGAATGCTTACATTATACGAATAAGGGTTATGACACTTCCAAAGTTTCCTTTGCTGGTTCAAGTTAATCAGGTTGCAAATTTAAACTCCGACAAGCGAAAAAAATCACAAGAGTTATTAAATTCTTGACCCTATTTTAGCAACGTCCACCTACATTTCTGGGATCCCTAGTTTGCAAAACACTAGGAGAAAAGCAAGACTGTGGCACCAAGAGAGAGCATGTGTTAACTCTGGGCATTAAACATTGAGTCTTCCTTTCCTCATCCTTTTATAAATGTACTTACAGCCAGAGCTCAATAAAGTGAGGCAGTAAAATGCGAACATTCAGCACAATGCACACACCGCAGGTACACAAATGACAGCTTCAGGTGGTAGATTATAGAAATGTTCCCAGATTTATTGAGCAAACATTCTCTATGCTTAACTAACATTTACCAGGTTATTTGCAATAAACACAGAGATCACCAAAGTCCTACCCTCAACAAGCAAAAGAGAGAAATCCATAAATAATCCCTTCCTTTTGACATCCAGGGAAAAGTGTACTTTCAGCAGAAAGTAAAGGAGGGAGAAAAAGTGAAGAATGGACAGTGTGGGCAGAGGAAAAAGCACCAAACTACCATGACCAAGGCCTGTGCCCAAACAAAAAGTACCTCTTCCAATGCCTCAGTGCTAGTGCCTGAAACTTTCTCCCAAATCCTTTGAATTCTATCTAACAAGGCCACGCCCCATCAAACTGTCTAAATGGCCTGTTGGGTCAAGGGCCAGGTTGCAGCTGGATCATTTAACATGTATCCTCAGGGCTGCTCACTGCTCACCTCTCTGTACCTCATAGAAAGGAAGGATAGACTTTCAAGACGTCCCAAGTTAGAGGGAGCAGTGTCAAACACTCGCCCAGGGAACCCTGTCATTTCCTGGATTTCCATCTGTAGAGACTTGTTCACAGGAGGTACCTTTTGTGATCTGCTGCCAGCAGCTCTTGGTTGGGAGGTCCCAGCATGGTTTTCTTTGTGGATATTTAAGAGGGACTGTGTTAACTTCTGAGCTGCAAGGCGGGGGCTGGTCCTGGTTGCCATGGTTGTTCTTCTCAGGATGTAGGGGCTTGTCTTTCCTGTTGGGATGTCAGCAAGCCCTAGGAACAAAAAAGCTGCCTGTCAACACTGCTAGGTGCAGTTCTATCTGTAATGAACATGATACGCACTAGGTCAAGTTTTAACCAAGATAAGTGGAACTGCAAAAAATGCTTTCTCCTACCACAGCGGACGAGGATAAACTTCAGAGTCACCCTGGGACTTGTCAAATTGAATAAATAACTAACAGGTTTTCCCTGATTAGAAACATTTAAAAACACACACAATGGGAAAAGAAGGGGAAAATAACATCAAACGGAAAAATGTTTCCTGCTTCTTCTATGCAGATGTCTTAACTCGCATTTTTCTAAGATCTGAAGAACACACCAGGGAAATCCTCCTGTAAAATCTGGACTGTGAGGCGAGATGAAAACAATCAAAATTAAAAATAAGGAAAACAAAGCCCAGCTCTTGTTTTCAGGGGACAATGTAAAATGCATAGACGTCCTTCAGGTGACCACTGTCACACAGAGACTTGGAGGGGGAGGGCAGAGATCTCACCTCCCTAAGACTGATGTGAGTTTCACTCTCTGCATACACCACCTCCTTCTAGAGAAGGAGCTGGTATGACTTGTGGTGACCAAGAGGAGAAAGTCAATGTCAAGGACCTTTAAAGACAGGGTGTCACACACACTCCAGAGCTGCAGTAATGGCTAACTAAAGCAACAGTTGGTTTGTTTTGGTTTTGAACCCTTGAACTACGAAAACAACGCAGAAATCAGAAAGGATGGCTCACTTCTGGGGGGCTAGATTTTCTAAGGGCTAGAGTTACTCAGAACAGTGGTTCTCAAACCCTTTATGGCAAAGGATCAGTTTTGCTCATTTTCTGGAGGGGCAGGCATGGGGTAATTTCTCATCTGCTATAGAATGGTCATTCTGTATAACACAGGAAGAATCAATCCACAGGGGAATGGTCATGTGCTTGGATGTTGAGACAATGTCATACTGCTATGAAAATGTTCATGTCTTACTGTTGATTTCTGTACATTTTTGTGGGGTGGAGGCTAATGGACCAGGAACAACATTTCCTCATCCCTGGACCACTCTTGGAGGACTACTAGGGCTTAGAAAAAGTGGTATGTGTCTTCAGCCAGGGGACCATGTCATGGGGCCCCTCCTCCAGCTCACCTACTACCTCAGTCACATGTGACTACAGACAAGAAAGCTTAAAGGATGTCCTCGATTTGGGGATTTTTCAGCACAGGAATATCAAATTTAAAATGGCATTTTAACAATCATTTTGCTAAGCTACCAGCACTTTGAGTAGTGTGACATGAGTCACTAGATACTATTCAATCTCTCATGACAGAAAGGAAAGTATACATCTTAAAAGGTATGTATTTTCTGAACATTAATTCGTACAATTGCACAATAACCTAAAGCTCCATGCTCCACATGTTTTTTTGCATGTGAAATTCCATGTGGACTTTCCAAAGAACACAGGTAATTTTGTTTTAAAATTATGCCATACCTTTCTTTACAACTTCTGGAAGCCCCTCGGGCTCAAACTCAGTGTCTTCCGCATCCTCTGCAGGGAGAATGCCCCTTCTGGCTGCCTTCTGGCTTCTTTTGGGAAACGTGTGTGGTATGGAAGGTAGTGTTCCTCCCTCATTCTCCCCAATCCCACTGGACCTTTGCCTCTTGCCTGAAGCTTTACTTTGGCTGGATGATCCCTTCTTTTCAGTAACACAAGGGACTGGAGGTGACTCTGGGTCAACTGACTTTAGCAAAGGGGAAATCTCGACATTCGTCGGAGATTGTTGTGAACTCAGACGAGCGACTTGTGTTTCCAACATCTCTTTGTCTCTCTCCAACTTCTCGTGGCTGATAAGCAGGGAGCAGTACTTGTCCAGGTACTCTTCTGCCTCCTTGCTTTTCCCTTCAAGGGCTTCTCTCAGTTCTTTCAGCTCCATCATCAGTTCATCGACATGAGCATCCACAAGAGCACCTGTCAAAAATCACATCATGACGCTCTTTAATCAACTTTGGACATCATAAAGCAGAAAGCCTAAAACTTATTTTTAATTTCTTTTTTTTTTTTTCATAGACATGGAGAAGGTGTATCTATGCATGTTCTTATAGTCCTCACAACCTTTGTTTGGGAGGGATCATATCAGGGTAAATTCTCTAATAGATTATATAAATCTTACTAGGACAGCTTAAATAAAACCTCCCCAAATCTCAAACTTGTATTGCAGCTAACCCATGAAATTTTCGTGTAGTTGTTCATATGAGACCAAACAGATTACTTTAGCACATCTCTTATGATCCCTGTGCATTCTTCCCACTCACTTGAATGAACAGCACAAATCATTCAAGGATACGGAGTCCCCTCTATTGTAAAGGCTTTGGGAGGCAGAAAGGGGCCAGTGACAAGGCAGGTCCGAAAAAGCTCAGAAAACCATCTGTAAGCAATGGAGGGTCTGGCGGACACAAGTTTGGGGGTCACTAAATGTGGGTGTCTTGCTCAACTTTTAGCTGCCCTGGGTGGCACGAAATCCTTTAGAAAACCTCCCTGGAGCCCCATATGCTGCAAGGTCTCTCCTGAGCAGGAAAGACCACTGGACCACCATGCTGATCCTCAGTCCACAAGAGCCACTCCCACAGAGCTTATCATCATCTCCCCATGCAGTAATAGGCATTCCACTCAGGCATAAGTGGAGAAAAGTTGTCTTTTCTTTTATTTTATCTCCACACCTAAAAATAGAGCCCTCCAACTGCCCCCACCATGTAGTTCACTCAGGAGAATGGGCCAAGGACGATCAGAATGAGGTGTGCCAAAGTGACAGTGGCAGCTCAGATGGCACTCTGAGGCCTGTGATGCTGATCTAGGTAAATGGACATCACGTGGAAAACTCTTTCTGGAATCCCCATTAGCAAAAAGTGCTGCCAGATTTTGTGTGCGTTTTATGCAACAGAACATGTGATTGTTCTATGTCAAAATGCAGGCTTCCCTCTCACTCCTATGAATGATCCCACGCTGAGCGCAAACATTGGAAATTGGAAAATAGACAACTGCCAAGAATCAGCACACAGTAGGACAGGGGAGCACGGAGACACTGCCTCTGCCCGCACCAGGCTTTGCTGGCCTGGGCACAGGCCCCTGCCCAGCTCACCCCACCTGGTTTCTGCTTCTCTTGCGCAGCTTCTTCAAGGTGACACAGCTCTTTCTGCAACCTCTCCTCCTCCTCCTCCATCGGCTTATAGTGTCTGAGCAAAATATCGATCTTCCCCTGGGCATGTTCTTTTTCCTTCTTCAGTTGCCTTATATGTGTTTCATTGTCCATCTGCAATACAAAAATTTGAACTTAAAGCCTTTGATATTTTTTTTATAAGCACACAGAAAGATCATCATAAGGCCTGGATGGTGTTGCTCATTGTGTTGCTCGCAGACCTCTGAACCAAAAGGTTGCCGATTAGACTCCTGGTTTTGGCACACGCCTGCATTGCAGGCCAAGTTGCTGCTTGCGGGCCACGAGAGGTAACAAATCAATGTTTCTCTCGCACCGCACATCCATGTTTCTCTCCCTTTCTTCCTCCCTCCCTTCCCTTCTCTCTAAAAAGAAAAAAGGAATAAAAATAAAAATATCAAGTAAAAAAAAGCAAACCATCATTGAGAAAATATATAATTAGAATAACATATTGTCATCATAAGAATTATTACATTCACACTAAAACATCCATTTAAGAAGAACACAATTCACCTTTTCTACTCGGTTTCCCAAGTCTCCCCAGTAGACACTGCTTTTCTGACACCCCTTCCTGGCATGCACAAACACAAAGCATCCTTCCCAAGAGTGTTCTCTTAAGTGGCTCACTCTGCCTGTGTGTATCCAATGGGAATCACAACCAGGGGCTGGGGATACGAGTCCATGCACTTATTCTTCTCGGATCAAAATTTCTGAGAATTATGTTCCCATTTGTAATCTTGTGCTCATGTAGAAGCCTAATACCTACAATGGTGTTTGTTCCAGTCACACCAGGTGAAGGCTAAACAATATTATGGCTCACAGTACCAACTGAAATTGTATAGGTAGCTCACCTAGAAAGGGAGTAGAAAGGTAGGAGAATTCAGGTTTTCTTAACCAAAAAGAAAAGTACTGCAAATGATTTAGAGACCCAATTGGACCTGACACCAGGGTATTTATAGTTTGTATGTATCCTACCTTGTGAGAATATTCACACATTTTGCTACAGAGATATGAATTGGTATGAAGTAATTCCCTAGATCCTGCTGGAATATTCTGTAATATGTGGCATTTGCACTGTTTTTTGTAGCATCTAAAGATGCACAATCCTAAAACCATTTAGCTCTAAGGGATTCTGGTAGGAGATGATGAATATATAAAAGCGCACCGAACTGTTCAAACCAAAACCACACCTGAGCTCCATATTCATGTCACTAGCGATTTCATCCTTTGTAGATTTCATCTTGAAATCATTAGCAATGTTGCAATAAATCTGCACTTGCGAAAACTTTTTATTTCTGATTCCAACCACAGTTGGATCAGAGATGTATTATTTCAATTGCAAGAATGCTTATCAAGTATACCTCATTAAAATTACAAGTGATCTGAATAGACTCAACAATGCACCATTTTGAACATGGTATAAATATCAATAGACATTCCCCACAGGGAATGTCTAAAACTGTCAAAGACTAAAAAGGCAGAAAGTGTGTGAAAAAGTAGCCCAAAGGCACATCCTTCTATTATGAAACCCAACATCCCTCATGGAAGAGAACATCATTGATCATTCATGTTATTGTGAATTTTATGAGTGTCTTTTTTATTGGTATATTTCCTTCTTCCTGATCATTGTATAAGAGCAATAAACCTCAGAAGTTGATACCTCATTTTCTGTTTGAATATAGTCAATACACAATTAATATCACAATTATAAAAATGTAAGCCTTCTTTTACTAAAGATCTTTACTGGAAGATATTTGTTTTTCAGGTTCATTATTGTACCTTCCAGATGGCAGTCATTTTCTAAGAACATCTCTGTAGGAATCAAAATAGCCTCCTTTCCAAGGAGATCACTGAAGTGCCATCTCCAGTCTCAGATTCCTGAGACTAGGGCTCACCTTCTTTTGTTCCTAGCCGAGAAAGCTTTATGGCCCCCCTGTAAAGAGGAAGAGGAGAGTGGACATATACACATGCCAAGTGCCTGACCAGACACTTTGCCACACCTCTACCTTCCTGGAGGCCAGAGGAAAGTGGGTTTGGTGACAGCAGTGACCTTGGAGACCCATCAAGCAAGAGTTTGGAATTACCCACCAAATTAGTACCTACAGCTGAGAGGGCTACCCTAATCTGTTCTTGCTTTCACCTTCCTGTCCATCTCCAGAAGTGTATGACATCCTCTTGTCTGAGGATTTACTGAGCAATGAAGTTCATTCAAGCCATGAGTCTGTAGGCCGTCCATTGATTTCTAAAAACAGCTCGGCAGAATTGCTGAGTGACATTACTCACAACTACACAAAATTTTTCATGAAAGTTAGAACATGAAATCTCATAAGTCAATCCCATTGAAACCTCAGTTCTTCTGTGGAAACTCTTCTAAGTCACAAAACAATGAGAAGGACACATACCTTGGTTTTTATCAATTCTCCTAAAAGCTCAGTGTTTTCTTCCAAAGAATTACTGAGCTGTTCTTTACTGGACTTCAAGAGCTCTATCTCCACCTTCTGCGAGCTGAGACATTCTTCTGTAGAAGTCAGTTTCTCTCTAAATGTCTGGATTTCCATTTCATGCTAGGGCAGAAAAATGCCTCTTCAGCAAAACAAACCCAAACGAAAACTGCCCATCCAAAGACCATTTCAAATGGACTCTGCCACTCTCCTACGACTCAACTCTGGGACGCAAATGTAGTTTTACAACGGAAGTTTTCTAATGAGACATGTGCAGGGGACTGGGGAAAAGATCTTGCAGTTCATAGGACAGCACCTTTCCTAAAACCTTAAGGGCATCATAATAATGCAGAGCACCAACCTCCTAGCAAAACAGACACCTCTTTACCGTGGTCTACACACAGTCTCCAGCTCCCCCAGGTACCAAACTCCACTTTTCACCTGTTTGTTTGCATCCAGAAGCAAAGTTTGATGCCTCTTTTCAGCTTCCTCAAGCTGTCTCTGATATTCAGCTATTTCTTCTCTTATTTTCTCTTGCTTTTGCATCTGGTGTTGGTGCATGCAGTCCAAACTCCTTTTCAAGTCACTATTTTCTAGCATGAATTCCTTCAATTGACCCTAATGAGAAAATTAACACAATAATGGGAAGATAATTAAGAACCTTGATACATGTCTTCAGGAAATACTGAGTACTGAGGGGGAAAAACTACTTCATGAGCAAGACAAAAATCTATACGGAATAGTGCAATGATCCTTAGCAATACATTCACTTTAAATTATAACTTCATGTCCAGTGACAATTTCCTCTGTTCTACCCAGCCACCCCTGAGGTCACAGCCATGGGACCACAAAATCTCTGAAAACTGACTTCCTCTGATCCACTCTGGAACTCTACCCTCCCAGGCTATGGGGCTAGCTTCTTTAAGTGCTTCCATGGTGATAATTTCTTGACCTCTACAACAGCACCACCATTACAACCTTCACACTCAAGCCCTTCCAGGGTGACACTTTCTTCCTTGACCAGCTCAGAGGCCATGTTCTATCACTGTAAGAATTTCCTTCCAAGTGCCTCGAACTCTCCCCCGCCTTCTCTGTGCAGGACAGGCAAACCCCTGCCCTTGGAGGCATTTGCCGCCCCAGTTCCACCTCCCACATAACTGCTTCTACCCCTGTCTGTATACACATGGGTCAAGTCCACTTCCTCATCTCCCATTCTCTCCACCCACTCCCAGCTCCTCCTGCACCAGCTCCCCCTCAGCCAGCTCCATGGTGTCACACACCTCCCTGATGCAGATCTGAGAGGCACTTTTCAGTCCTTGACCACTCATTTGACCTCTGAGTAGGTCCCCAGGGTGCTGACCTCTCCTGGGTCTTGAGAGAGCCTCCTCCTTGGCTGCTAGGACATGGCATTTCACTGGGTGGCCCCATCCAGTCTCCTCAGTGTCTTTGCTTGCTCTTCTCCCACCTCTCCCCATCCATGGTGGAGGTCCCATGGCTCACTCTGTAGTCCCTATCACCCACACCATCTTTAATTATGGCCTGTGTTCTAAACTCAGCAAATGCATATACCCAACCAAACCTTTCCTTTCAACTGCAGCCTCGTTTATTATGTGTCAATTCAGATTTGATTCCAATGCTTTACCACAGCCTTCCTTCCTCTCCCATTCTTTTTCATATCATTCTCCTTTGGATTCCAGCCACTGGGGCTTCCTTTCCATTCTTTAAAAAAGTACAAAAAACCTTTCTTATCTCAAAGACTTTACCACACTGCCCTCTATACCCAGAAGCTTCCGTGCTCCAGCAAGTTGTTTGTAGGGAGGTCACCCCATCCCACAGGCAAGTCCTCTGACCACCCCATCTACACCGGGTTGATGCCTACCCCACTCCCCAATTCCCAATGATTCTGCAACAAAGAATCTCGTTTGTACCCTTTATAGCACTCGGCAGTTTATGAGTTTTTTCTGCTTCCTCTTGTGTGCCTAGACTGTAAGCTCTATGAGTACCACAGGAGAGTGATGGTTGAACATTGTACACCGTAACCCTAGTAGTGCTTATTGTTTACAGAATGAATAAATGAATGAATGAAGTCACTGCAAACTTACATGCTCTGCTGTACACACTTGAGGCTAGACACTCAGCTTTTCTTTTCGGTGGAGACTACAAATAAAGTACAAGTAACAGCATACTTGGGACAGCCCCAAGGTGCTCAGTACCAGAGCAGATATCAGCAGATGATACATTTCATGTATCATCGGTAGCAACTCCTTGCACACAGCATTGCCCAAAAATCACTCAAGTCAATTGCTGAGATTAAATGCCCAAACTTGACATTTTTGGAAATATTGATTTGAGAAAGAGAGAGAAAACTATCCATTTGCTGTTTACTCATCCATGTTTCATTGGTGACTGTGGTATGTGCCCTGCCCTGGGATTGAACCCATGACCTTGGCTTATCAGGATGACTCTCTAACAAGCTGAGCTACCTGACCAGCACAAATGCCAACACTTGTAAAGTTTCCTCAGCTTCCATACCATGTTTGAAGAAAAGTGCAAATTTCCAAAGCTTCTTCTACACACTACTACAAATATCACTTCAACTTTGTGTACTTATTCAGGGTTGAAATTACAACTCTGTGTGTGACCCTTTTCTAAGGATTCTGTAGGAGGGAAGCTGCATGAGGACTGGATGGTTGTAGGAGCGTTTACCATGTAATTGGATTTGGCAAATAGGTTTCAGCACCCATAGCAACACTGCATGCAGGTGGCAGCCTCTGGGACTCCGTGTTGAGATTCAGGAGAACGGGAGGCAACAGGAATCAGCAGAGTCTGCTATGGGAACAGCAGTGGGCATTGGGAGCCCAGATGCTACAGATCTGCCGCATGAACCCTCCTCTAAAAGAGCACCGGACACTGCTCTAACTCTACATTTTACTGGAACTTTCTTTCTGTTACTTTGTATTCAGTAAGATCAGTGCATCTGCCTGTAGCAACATTCTGGCTGGTAGTCTGAAGCAGGCTAGGAAAGCAGCCTATTGAATTCTGCATGAAATGGACTTCTCATGTGACTTAGTAGGGTACAGGATCCTTGTCTATGGAAAACCTCTGGGCTCCAAGTCAGGTCTGGTCCTGGGCTCTGAGGCTGCTCGAGGCCCACAACAGTGCTGGCTGGTGAAGATCACTGCTCTCATCCTGACATGAGCGCTCCAATCACTTTTCTCAAGGGCTCAGTCATGTTTGGTACTGGACAGCAGGTCTTACAGAAACTAACAAGGAGAGTGTGCACACTGAATTACTAATCTGTCACGGATGGACTTACTTCCTTGTGCTTCACTTCTTCCGACATTAAATTTAATTCTTCGGTTAGCCTGTTCTTCTCCCCATTGAATTCTTCTTTCAAGTCTGTCATTTTCTGTGTTATCTCGCACACTTTCTTCTGTAGCTCTGTTTCCCTCGAAGTCAAGGAGTTTACCTGAAATTGAATCATTCGTTAGGAGCTGCTTTTCCTTGTCCATGTAGACCAAACAGATCCCTGTGATAAAACAGTCAGGACCTCTTCACTTCAGGCTCCAGTGTGAAAATGAACCACGTCTAACCCCGCCTTCACTCATCACTCGACCAACATGCTCAGGTCTTACTGGTGAACTTCCCTTTTCTTTGCAGCAAAGATTCAAGAAAAGACAGCAATAAGGGAAAGAATGACAAGCAAAGATAACATTACCAAGTATCAAAACCCTGCATACAGGCATGAAGATGAATTCAAGTTAAACATCACAGAATATGGTATGAGGCAGCATCTTAAATTTTTATCATTTTTCTGCATCTCTACTAACCCCGATGCCATCCTAAGAGGCAAGACACATGGCTGTGATGAGTTAGAGCCAACTGACTCTACTGCTTGTATTTGTCCCTTCACATTGAAACAGTGGGGTATAGTTTTTCTCATCATCTTCACCCAAACTGCCATCCCTTGCAAGACATCCAAACACTCGAAGCTCTTGGAAATAGAGTTCTGACTGATTGGGTTTTTTTCTGGGCAGCAATCTTTTCCTTTAACATTCGTGCACTAAAAATGAGATTGGAAAGAATCAGTTTCTGAGGTCAGTTAGCAAGCATGGAGGGCGGGTACTTGTTTTGATTAATAGGTGAGCTGCTTGATGGCAGACTTTCCCTTTAATCATCAACAAAGAAAACAGGAGTCTGCAGGAGAAGGTGCAGGAGTGGGGCTGAAAGCCCAGAATCCCCAAGACACACACTGGGAGCCATGAGGGTTCTGTTGCTGACAATTCGATCACCATTGTTACTACTTCTTTCTCTTACAGGCTATCAAGGCAGAACAAGGGAAAGGGGATGTCTTCTGATCCTAACCAGTACCTACTATAACCTCTACAGCAGTGGTTCTCACCTGAATGTGGGGAGGCTACTATTGTGAAGCATTGTGGGAAAGGGAAATGTGATTAGAGCCAGGAACTGTACATAAGCCACAGCTCCTTCCATGTCCACATGCCACACTGACTACCTGGGCCAGTCTATAGAAGAGTCTCGCACAAATGAGTGCCACAGCAAAGAAAGAGTCACTACTACTGAAGGCAAGTCAACATCCCCCAAAGTCAACACCCCACACACTTCATCAAACCTTTACAAAGTTTGGTTCAATACTGCAAATACAGTCCTGAAGGACATACAACTCACCAGTGGTTTCCCTCCCTCCTGACAACACGTGCAAATGTAGGAAAAGCCACTTACTCTTTCAACATAAGATAGCTTTTCCATTTTGATCGATTCGAGCTCTTTCTGCACGTCCCTGTAGGAATTCTGCAGCATTTTGTAGGTGTCCTGCAAAGTGTCATTTTGGGACTGCAGGCTTTGGATCTTCTGCTCCAATTCCAGAGTCAGACTCTCCAGTTCTGCTTTTTGCTTCTTCATAACTTGGGGCTCTTCTTCTAGCTGGGACAACTTAGAGACAAGCTGTTCTTGGTCTTGAATTTGATGTTTTAGTAAACTGATTTCTTGGTCCCTTTTCTCGAGCTTCTCTTTGCCATCTTGTACTTCTTGAATGAGGTCATTCACAGAAGATTGCAAAGTAATGTAATTACTTTTAGCCTGGTCAAGGCCTTGCAGCAACTGAGACTTCTCAAGTTCAAGATTAGTTATTTGAGCACTCAGACCCTGTTCTCTGGCCATCCAGGTCCCCTGGTCATCACACAAGGTGGACAGTTTCTCCTGTAACACTGTAAGTTGTGTTTGAAGCCTCTCCTCAACAATTTTAGATTCTTCTTTCAGCCGGACAATTTCTTGCTGTTTTTCTTGCAACAAATTTTCAAATGAAGACTTTAATATTTCTAATTCGGATACGTGCCCTTGCTCTTTTTGTAATTCTTTCATCAGATTTTCTTTTTCTGACCTTAGGTTGCCAAGATCTGCTTCCAGATCTCTCAGACTTGGGGCCATCTCCTCTATTTTGGCTTTTAACTTCTCTACCTCTGCTTTGGAGTTCTCTGCCTCCTGAGTCGCACGCTCATGGGTTTTTTGGACTTCTGTAGTTCTTTTTCGAGTTGATCGACTTCCCCCTTGAGCATATCTGCTTGATGCTTCCTTTCCTGCAGCTTTTCTAAGACTTGGGTCTGCTTCTTGTCATTGTCTTCTAGTTGGTCTTTCAGCTTTTTGATGCTCTGGCTCAGCTGCCGCACTCTCTGCACTGGGGCGCTCTGTTCCGGAACCTTCCTGGTATCTGGGTCCTCACACAAGGTTGCCACCTCCTTCATCAGCTCTTTCAATTCTCTTTCCAGCATTTCCCCTGCAGCTTTGGACTCTTCTTGCATGTGCATTTTTTCTTGCTCCTTTTCTTCTAATAGGTTTTTCAGTGAAGAGAGCAAGGTGTCCAATTCAGACACCTGACCCTGCTTTTCTTGCAGCTGATGAGTCAGAGTTTCTTTTTCGGACCTGATCGTGACAAGGTCCAATTCTAAAGCTTTCAGGTGTTCAGTCATCGATTCTACTTGTGTTTTCAGGGTCTCCGCCTCCGCTTTCGAACTCTCAGCATCAAGAATCACCATCTCTTGGTTTTCTTCTGCCATCTGCAATTCGCTTTCAGGTTCTCAACCCTAGCCTGAAGTGAACGATTCTTCCCTCTCACTTTCTTTCAGTGTCTCCAAGATGCGGCGCTGCTTCTTCTCGTCAGCCTCAATGCGGACCCTCAGTGTCTCCATACCATTCCTCAGCTGATGCATCTCGTCTTGGGTGGAGCTCAGCCTCCCAGCGACCTCGCCCTTCTCTCGCCTGGCAGCCTCCAACGCTTGCGTGACAGTCAGCTTCTCCTGTTCTGCTTCATGTAATTTGCTCTGCAGGCTTTCGGATTCCCTCACAAGCAATTCTTTCATTCAACGTTACCATTTGGCTTTCCAGCTCATTTTTCCCCAGAGACAGGGCCTGGGAGTCCTTTTCCAAACTCTGCAGCTGCTCCTGAAGGTGGGCTTTCTCTTTTAACAGCTCGCTTATGGAGGCAAATTCTAGGAGCTGAGTCTTTTTCTCCAGCTCAGCGTCTGCACATCGGTATGGGACAGACACTCTCCTTGATGAACACATTAAATTTCAAATGGTTTTTCTCTCTAGGAACAGTTCAGATAGCCTAAATATAAATCGTCCTTTTGATCATCAGACAGGAGGCTTACCACCTCACACAGAATGCCCAGCTTCTCCATCTTTAGCAGTTCTGCTATGCTTCAACAGTAGAAGGTGGTGAGCTGTCATGACCAGATTGTCAGCCCAATGACTTAAGCCTGTACTTACCATCTGGACTTGAGAGAAACCATATATCTGGACTCACCCTTCCTGTCACCTGGTAAACAGGGGTCAGCTGCCCTGACTATCCCTGTTGCCTCCTTCACCACTTGCCATTTCATCATACAATGGCAGCTAGAGGGAAAAGTGAGATACCTTGACTCTACAGCATTCGTAGTTTATTGGTAGACTACAAGGATAAACCTGTAAGTAACTAAGCAATTTCACATTCGATAAAGAAAGAAATGTATTTTTTCAAGGTATAAGGAATCACGCAATTGGACTGGGGTAAAGTGGTAGACAATGATTTGGAAATCTGTAATAAGCTTGTTTTTCAGTGACTATAATTCTGCAACATAAAAAAAAGCCAGAAAGGGTCAGAGAGAATTACACCATATTCCCATTGCAAAGCTCTATGGAATATGTAAGTGTGCTTTATTAACTCACAAAGAATGAAAACATATGACACAGACTTCCTGAAGACAACTCTTCCAACTCTGTAATATAATTTGAGCAGGAGACTTTAAGAAAGATCTTTTGGATTGTTCCATATTAAATGCAACCCTGAAAAAATCTTAGTCCAAAAAGTTCTGTTTTTATGTTGGAAAAAAAACTTTAGGGGGACTTCTGCAACAAGAGAGGGGTAGTGGAAATACTGTACCTCCTCATGCAACCAAATCTATGGACAACAAAGAGTTAGGAAACAAAAAAACAAAGCAGACAGGAAATTGAGCTGTACTGAAGTTGACAACAATGAACCATGCATCTAGACTGAATATTATAAAGGAACATATAGATAGACTCTAAATCCAGGGCCCCAGCAAAGGAATTAAAGGTGCAAGGGATGAGGTGCCAGGAGAGTCTCCCAGCCAGCGGGAGAACTTGAGAGACCCATGGAGTCCTCAAAGATAAGGTACACGCACAGGAGAACCAAAAGCAGAAGAGCCCAATTTGTTTGTGGAAATGGTAGAGGGACTGGAAATCCCAGAGAAAGCAGAACAAATGGCATTGTTTCCTCTCTGACCTGCCCTCAACAATGCCACGACCCGGAAACGTGGGTTTGCCCCTGCCCTGGTGAATACTTAAGGCTCCACCCCCTCATATGTAACAGGCACGAACTGACCAAATGTAGCTCAAGCAGAAGAACAACTCAAAATCCCAGAGCCAATACTTCTAAGCAACCAAGAGATAGCCAACCTATCAGATGCACACCTCACCAACACTGGTGATCAGGATGCTCACTGAACTGGTTGATTTTAGTCGCAAATTAGATGAAAAAAATGAAGACTATTCTAAGTGAAATGAAGTAAAATGCACAGGAAACCAATAGCAATAGAAATAAACTGGGAATAAAATCGGAATTGAGTGGACCAGAAGGAAGAAAGAAATGATCAAAGAATAAAGAAACATGAATTCAAAAAAATGAGGAGAGGCTTAGGAACTTTCTAGGGAAATCTTTAAATGTTCTAACATCCAAATTATAGGGGGTACCAGAAGGAGAAGAGGAACAGCAACAACTGGAAAACTTATTTGAACAAATAAGAAACAAACAGTCTGAAAAACAAAATAGACTTGCAGGAAGTCCAGGAAACTCAGAGTCCCAAAGAAGTTGCAGCCAAGAGAGGTACAACACACCAAGGCACATCATAATTACATTAACCAGGATTAAAAATGAAGCAGATTATTCTAGAAGTGGCAAGAGATAAGGAGAGCACAGTCTCACCTACAAAGGATTTCCCATCAGACTGTCGGCTGATTTCTCAAGAAGAGACCTCACAGTCAAGAAGGGCCTGGAAAGATGTATTCCAAGTCATGGGAAATCCAAAGACCTACATCCAACATCGCTCTATCCAGCAAATCCTTCATTCAGAATGGGAGGGCACAGTTAAAGTACTTCTCAGAGTAAAGCCAAGTTCAGGGAGTTCATCATCACCAAGCCCTTAGTCTATGTAATCTTAAAAGGGACTTATCTAAGAAAAAAGAAGATAATATAGGAACAATGAAGGACAGCAAACTCACAGTTATTAGCAACCACACCTAAAACAAAAGCAAACTAAGCAGACAGCTGGATCAAAAGTGGAACCATAGAAATGGAGATCACAAGGAGGGTTAAGCAACAGGGCACTGGGAGGAGGGGAGAAGTGGGAGAAGGTTTACAGAGAATAAGTAGCCTAGATGGTATGTAGAAAATAGACAGCGGGTAGGGCAAGAATAGTATGGGAAATGTAGAAGCTAAAGAACTTGTGACACATAGACACGAACTAAAGGGTGGAATGTATGGGGAGCTGGTTTGAAGGGTGGAGGGGAAATGGAAAACTGTAGTGGCATAATCAATAAAAATATTAAAACATTGTAATTAAAATAAAAACAAACTAGAATATACTTTATGCCCTTGAAAACATATTCTAACTACGCAACGAATTATTCACTTTACACTGTTGCTCAAAAGCAAGAAGACTGCTGCACATGAGTTTCCTTTGTCACCAAGGAATTGCTAAGTATTAGCTGCTCTCTGAGACTCTCCTGTATTCAGAGCGCAAGTCATAGGTGACACTGGTCTTTGTTGTACTACACCTGACATTAGTTGAACTTTGTGCTTTACCCTTGACTTGCTCAGTGAGCTCAGACACTTTGAAGCACATGCTTTCTGTTTCCCTCTTATGTTTCTTGATCTGACAACTCGACTTTCTGCTGGAATTCTCCCTGAGCTTCTTTCTGTGTCTCTCTCTACTGTCTTGTAATGGGAGACACTGTGCACGGGTTCTTCAGCTCCACAATTAGGCTTCCTCTTCCATCTCCTGCGTGCTGACTCTCTTGTCGTATTCATTGCTTCTTATTTGTTGTGTCTTAAGACACATTTCCAACTGATTGATTTTACTCAGGAAGATTTCCTTCTCTAATTCCATCTGCTTTATGAGTTTTCATTTTCACTTTTCCAGTGAGAAGAGAGTTTTCTCTTCTTTCCATTCTTCAAACTCCTCCTCCTTTTCTTTTTTTTAATGATCTCCAAAGCATCCAATAGAGCTTGAGACTCTCTCTCAGTTTTGCTTAACTTTTCACTCACTTGTTCAATGTGATGTTCTTTTTCCTTGAAAAGGGCTTGAGAACCATCATGCTGCTTTTCCAGATCGGCCAATACAAGCTTCAGTTTCTCTGAAGTCAAGGAATTCTCTTGCTGATTAATTTTTTCTTGGAGATCTCTTAACATGGTTTCTTGAGATGCATTCTTAGCTGTGAAATATACAAAATAAAAAGCACATTTGAATATTTTAAATATCATTTCATACAGGCAATTCTAAAATGAAAAATAATCTAAAAACACTAACAACTCCTCACCCCTGTGAAAACTGACATTATTGTCCAGACACCTCCTGCAAAAAAGATCACCAGACAATCATTTAAAGTCTTCCAAAAAGACCATGAGAAAGATGGTCCTTTTAGATGCGCTAATGTATTTGTCCATCTTCGCCGTATGCAACTTAAAAAGTGTTATATAAGATGCCAGGAGATTAATTCCCTAAGAAGTTGAAATTTTTCCTCTGTGTTTGTGTAAATGTAGATAGGAACAGCTGTTTTATTGTGCTTCCCATATATTGTGTGCTTTACAAAAGGAAGGCAAGACCCTGCACCAGCAAAACAGTCAACACTCACTTTATTGTGTGTGACATTCTATATCTTGCACTGGTTGGAACCAAGCTGGCTCCATTTCTGAGGTTTCCCCTGCAGTTTTGACTTCTTCTGAAATAATTACTCAGCCCTGGCCTCTGCAGTTCCATGGATTAAGTGTGGGCTGTGAACCAAATGGTTACCAGTTTAATTCCCAGTCTGAGCACATGCATGGGTTGTGGGCCAGGTCTGAGTGGTGACCACCAGAGAGGCAACCACACATTGATGTGTGTCTCCCTCACTTTCCGCCTTCCACTCTCCTTGAAAATAAATAAATTTGTAAAAATAATTATTGACCTGGCTGGTATAGCTCAGTGGATTTAGTGCAGGCCTATGAAGCAGAGGATTGCAGTCCGATTCCCAGTGAGGGCACATGCCCTGGGTTGCAGGCAAGTTCCGGCAGTGCCATGCATAGGCAACCATAATTGATTATTTCTCCCTCTCCTTCCCTTCACCTCTAAAGATAAATAAATAAAAATTAAATATTCACATTCATTAAAAAACCTAATTAAAATATATTGGGAGAGAGAAAACCAACAAAAGCAGCACTGAAGTGGAAATATTCCCCTTCACTGGGGAGTAATTCGTTTTCTTAGAATAAGTGTGTAATGCTTTCACTCCACCATTTTCTCACACAATCCCATGGGTTCTGTATCCAAGAGGAAAAGATGTTTTACGCCAGTACACTCTCGGAGGCCTCTATATGAATATCACCATGTCCCACATCCTCACAGAACAACTGGTGTCTGTGAATCGCATCATCTGGGAGCTTTTCAAACTTTGTTATCACCTTGTTTCTGCCCAGCAACACATAAACCCTGACCCCACCCAGTTGACAATAATCTCAAAGCTTTCACTCCAAAGTGATAGGCATCCTTCCAACTCCCCAGATAAATAGAGGGAGAATTCATTTGTCCATAGCAGATGAGAAAGGCAGCATGTATTCTAAACGCAGTGGGGACAATAAGTGGAACCCAACTCCTGTTTTAACCCATGAATCTCAGTCCACCTACTGAGTGATGGCTCTCCACAGGCTACAAGAGCTATCAGTCTCCTCTGCTTATGGGGACCTGAAACAATGATCCTGGTGGCCAACAATGGAAAATGCCCAAATGTTTCCACTTTTCCTGGTTTGGCTTAAAAAAGACTGGCATTTCTACCTACTGTGGGTGGAAAAACTCAAAGCCGTCTCAGGGACATGTGAATTTTTAAAAGAAAACAGTCACAGAGAAGTGTGACCCATAACTCCGTGATCCACAATGTCAAGTTTTAGAAGAAATCCTGGATGTGCACATACCCAAGCTGAGAAAATAAATGTAACAAGAAGACCTATGGTACACCTAAAAATGGGTAACAAGTGGCAGATTCATTTGGTGTGGATAGCATGATTCTGTGGCTCTACAGTAAAGACAAAATCATTTATGTGAAGTAAGTCATCAAAAACCGATGGTCATTAAAGGGCTGGAAAACACGCACTTCATGTAGGGAGTTTTCATTGTAAGGAAAGAGTGAGGAGACAAGCTGCCTGAGTGTCACTGATAAATACATTGGGGACAGACAACAGCACTCTGGGGACACAGGCAGAACTGACAATTTCCTTTTTGTGGAAAACATGCACCCTCAGTTTCTAAGTGCTGAAAAACAGGCATTTGGGGGTGCTAGTATTTCAATTAAAAAAGGGTCCAACTATCCCTCTAGAAACTAAAAAGTAGAAGAGACAAAACTTTTTCCACATCCACTGCAGACTTCTTCCTGGGAGACTAGATAAGAAAACTTCAAAGTTTCTAATGCCAGCCACCATCCTCCATACACTAGCTTAGGAAATCAGTCCATATCACCAAGTTTTTACTACCCTCATTTCCTCTCTGTAGAATTCTGGCTCTGACTCAAACACTGCTTGGTCTTCTTCAGTTCTTCCTGCAGATGGCAGACTTCTCTGGCACTTTGCTCAGACTGACTCTTGAGGAAACTGTTTTCCTTCTTCATTTCCTAAAGCACAAGTTGACTTGGTTATACCTCAAAATGAATGCTCCAGCAAACTATGACTTCTGCCTCAGTAAGAGTTCCTAATGGAACGTTGGTGTATCTCATGGGGGAAGAGTCACACCTTCCCTTTTAGCACTTTATATAATTAGACATTCTGACTTAACCCAGTGATTTTATGGACAGAAGTTAAAACACAAGCAAAAAACCCAAATCCGATGGCAATCGTTTTGCTTTGAGAAAACGATTGGTTTCAACTTTCTGGTTGTTTCTAAGCCTGTTCAAAATTTCACTGAGATGGAACATCCCATTGAAGTGTCCCTCAAGAACATAAGCTCCGAGTCCTTATCACACCTGAATGATCAACTATATCTTTGCAAAGTCTGATGTGCTAAGGAACAACATACATTCACAGAAAAAATGTTTCCTTCACAATTGAAAACAATCTTAATTTTCACTATTACAGGCATGTCTTTATGAGTCAATACATTGCATGAAGTGTTTCTCAAAATATCTCCAGTGACCAATTAGCTGGAATAGGCATTATAAAAAGCCATAATATAAGAAATACAGAGCAAGGCCTCAGAAAGAAGTGACACCCACCACTTAATAACATGGGCAAGTACTAATGACTAGAGAGGGGCCCTGTGCTGTGGGAACCCAGCTGGAGCACAGAAGCAAGAGTTCATTCTCCATGGAGGGAGTTGAAGCTTTTCACAGGGGAGAACAGAGTCTTTGGGCACTTGATTCAATGGAGTGTCCATGAAACAAAATGCAAATAAAGTAGCAGAGATGCAGATACACCCCCACTGTATTATCTAGGGTGAAATGTATAACTTTCCAAACCTTCAAAGCACTAATATTTGTATGCCTGGTATAAGTGCTATTGCTTATTTAGCATGGAAGACACAAACCATCATAAATCCTCCATTTTTTATACTGTTTTCCAACATTCAATGAAGTTGTAGCTGGTAAGTATCTCAACTTATATCATATACATCGATTTGGAACACAGAGAATTGGCATATACTGAAAGAACTCATGGTCCACACATCCTTGGGGTGGAACATTCATAAGGCTAACATTCAAACACGCACACACACCACACACGCTTAAAACATAATCCTGTGAGAAGTAAGGGAAAATGATTTAATCTTAAAAAAACAATAAGTTGGAAGCTCCTAAACCTTTTTCATGCCATGCCTTATGCATCTCTCCATCTGTTTGTTTCTGAGTTATATTCTTTTATATTACACTGGTGATTGTGTATGAAGATCATGGAGAGATAGATGGACGTGTAGTGCACTCCCCCTGCACATGTGAAGAAACACTTAGCTGATCTTCCGAGGAGCAAAGGGAACAGCCAATAGTACCCCCAATATATCTGAACATTGGAGACCAAAACTTGGAGAGCATATTGAAAAAACCAATAAGCAGGTAGAAGGCGTGAACACCAGGACACCTGCTGGAACAGGGAAAAACTACCAAACCAGGAACCAATGAATAGGGAACAAAATGAGGTGAAAGAGAAAGTGGAAGCCACACTAACTCAACTTAGGACCTACCTGGAAATACAAATAATGGTGGAGAAAATATTTAGAACAAACAGCTGCACAAGAACAAGAGAGAGAGAATCCTCAAAACCTTGTGCACATGGAAGATACCACCTTCAACACAACTTGCCCACACCTGCACACCAAAATACAGGAGGTGGCTGAATGTCACTAAGATTAACAGGGACCCTCACAAAACAAACTGGAGAGAAGGACCAACCAACCAAACACCCAATGATAATCAAATCTAAAGATACCCAGAGAGCCAGCATAAATAATAGCACAAGACCAGCAAGCTCAGGACATCAAGGAGACTACACCACTAAATCTCACAGGTCATCTACCATACAAGTTCATGCTATAAACCCAGGGAGTCAGAACAGATCATTTAAGAAACTGAGGCCTAGCAAGAAAAGGCTCAGAAACACTGGCAAGTTGAAGAAACAATCCCCAAATGAAAGGAAAGGAGGAAGCCTCAGAAAGAATGCTAAATAAAAGAGAGGCAAGTCAACTATCAGATATAGAGTACAAAGCAACTGTTATAAGGAAGCTCAATGAGCTCGCAAGAGAATTACCAAAAGATACAGCAATACTACAATGAACATGAACATGTAAACTACATCAGCATGAAGAAGGAAATAGAAATGATCAAAAAGAGCCAAGAGCATATGAAGAATATTACTTATGAACTGAAGAACACAGTACAAGAAAACAAAAGCAGACTCAGTGAAGCCAAGGACTGGATCAGCAAGCTGGAGGACAAGGCAGAAGAGAACACCCAGAATGAGCAAGAAAAGGAAAAGAAGCTCAGAAAGAATGAAGAGGGCTTCCAGGAAATGCAGAACAACAAGGAACATAATAATATACTTGCATAATAGGGATACTAGAAGGACAAGAAGAAGATCAAGGGGGTAGAAAACCTGTTTGAAAAAGGAAAGTGATGGAAAACTTTCCTAACGTGATGAGGAAAAAGTACACTAATTCAGGAACACGAACAGTTCTAAAATCAAGAGGAAGCCAAAGAGGCCCACTTCGGGACAGATCATCATTAAAATGGCAAAATTCAAGATAAAGAGAGAATCTCAAAGGCATCAAGGGAAAAACAGGGAAGTAACATACAAGGGAGCCCCAATAAGACTAGCAGCAGACTTCTCAATGGAAACGCTCCAGGACAGAAGAGAATGCCAAGAAATACTCCAAGTCATCAGAACCAGAGGCCTGCAACCAAGACTACTTTACCCAGCAAGACTCCTAATTGAAATGGAAGGCTAAGTAAGGATGTTTGCAGATGAAAGAAGCCTCAAATAATATACTTCCTCCAAACAGCTCTGCAAAAAAAAAAATGCTAAAGTGTTTGCTTCAAGAACAGGAAGAAAAACACTGAAAGAGGGAGGAACACAGGAAGAAAAAAGGGGTAATGAATAAATACCTATCAATAATGACCTTAAAAAGAAATGGATTGAATGTCCAAATCAAAATACACAGAATAGAGGAATGGAGAAAAAAACATGCCACACACATGCTGCCCACAAGATACCCACTTCAGAACAAAAAGACCTACACAGACTGAAAGTCAAGGGCTGGAAAAATAATATTCCAAGCACGTGGACAGGGAAAAAAAGATGGGGTAGCCGTATTCATATTAGACAAAATAGACTTCAAAAAAGAGCCATGAAAAGAGACCCAGAAGGTCACTTCACAATGCTCAAGCACATGAATCCATCAAGAAGTCATAAACATCGCAAGTACATATGCATCCAACACAGGAGCACTCAGATACATAAAGAAAATCTAGAGAACTTCCAAGAAAGATGTTGACAGCAACTACAATTAGAGTAGGGGACTTTACCACCGCACTGTCAAAAATGGACAGATCTTCTGAAATAAATATCAACAAAGAAATTGTGGCATTGAACAATGGTCTAGATGAAATGGACTTAACTCACATGTAGAGAGCCTTTCATTCCAAAGAAGCAAAATGCATGTTCTTTTCAAATGCACACGGGAAACATTTTCAAAGATAGGAGCACATGAGGAGGACACAAAACAAGCCTCAACAAATTCAAGAAAATTGAAATCATATCAAGCATTTTCTCTGACCACAAGGGACTGAAACTAGAAACCCACCTCAAGGAAGAAGACCCCCCAGAAACTCAAACTCATGGTAATTGAATAGCATGCTATTAAACAATGAGCTGGGTCAAGAATGACGTTAAGGAAGAAATCAAAAAGTTTCTGCAAACAAATGAAAATGAACTCACAACAATCCCAAACTCATGGGGACACAGCAAAGGCAGTCCTGAGAGGGAAGTTCATAGCACTACTGGCCTACTAAAAAATCACAGGAACATTTCAAATAAACAAGTATCCCTATGCCCCTACAAGAAATCAAGGAACATCAACAAAGACAGCCCAGAGCAAGTAGACAGGAAGGAAATAACCAAGATCAGAACAGAATTAAATGACATAGAGATGAAAAGCACAATTCTAAGGATCAGTGAATCAAGGAGCTGGTTCTTTCCAAAAGCTAAACAAAACCGACAAGCCTTTAAGCAGGCCCATCAAGAAGAGAAGAGAGAGGGACCCAAATCAGAAATGAAAGAGGAGAGATTACAACTGATACTACAAAATACAAAGGATCGTAAAAAACTGCTACAGGGGGAAGAACAATATGCCTAGAAAATTGAAAACCTAGGTGAAATGGACAAGTTTTCTAGAAAAATATCATCTTCCAAAAAACTCAATGAAGAAGAAGCAGAAAGCCTCAACAGGCCAGTACTAACAGCTAATGAAATTGAAAGAGTGATCAAATAGCTTCCAACACGCAAAAGCCCTGGACCAGATGGATTCACAGGAGAATTTGACAAAGCATTTAGAGAGCCTAACCCCATCCCTCCACATATTATTCCAAAATATTGAAGAAGATGGAAGACACCCAAACTCTTTTATGAGACAAGCATCATCCTAATCACGAAACAAATAAAGACATAACAAAAGAAAGAAAAATTCAGGCCAGTATTTCTCATGAACATGGATGCTAAAATCCTCAACAAAATATTAGGCAAACTATATCCAGGAATATGTTACAAAGATCATACACCATGATCAAGTGGGATTCACCCCAGGGATACAAGAATGGTCCAATATTTGCAAATCAATAAACACAATTCACCACATAAGCCAGAACAAAACATGAAAATCACATGTTCACATCTGGAGATGCAGAAAAATGCCTTTGACAATATATGGCACCCATTTATGATAAAAACACTCAGAAAACTGGGAAAGAGGGAGCATTTCTTAACATAAAGACCATATATGAGAGACCTACAGCCAACATCATTCTCAATGGACTACCAAACTTAGAGCTTTCCCACTAAGATCAGGAAAAAGACAAGGGTGTCCACTTTTCCACCACTCCTAATCTACATATACTGGAAGTCCTAGCTACAGCAATCAGAGAAAAAAAAAGAAATAAAAGGCATGCAGATTGCAAAGGGAAGAAGTAAAAATGTCATTGTTTCCAGATGACATAATATTGTCCTTAGAAAATCCTATAGAACCCAGAAAAAAGGCTTGATATAATAAATGAATTTGGCAAAAGAAAGGAATACAAAGTCAATACTCAGAAATCAAAGGCATTTTTGTACACCAACAACGACATTCGGAAACAGAAATCAGGCAATCCATCTCATTTGATATACCAACAAGAAAAATAAAGTACCTACGCATACACTGAACCAAAGAGATAAAACACCTGTACTCAGAAAGCTATACAACATTGCAGAAAGAAATTAGGGAAGACAAAAAAACAAATGGAAGCATGGACCATGCTCATGGATTGGAAGAATTAACATCATTTAAATGGCCACATCCATGACCTCATCAAGTTAAAAAGCTTTTGCATGGCTAAAGAGAACAGCAGATTAAATGAAAAGAGACACAACTATATGAAAAACCATATTTTCCAATGAATCCTCAGACAAGGGTTTGATCTTAAAAATATGTCAAGAACTCACAAGACTCCACTCCAAGAAGAAAAAACCCAATTAAAAGTGGGCAAAAGACTGGAACAGAATACTTGTCCAAAGAAGACAAACAAGAGTGCCCACAGATACATCCAAGTATGCTCAGCATTGCTAGCCTTCGAGAGAGAGGCAAATTAGGACCACAATGAGATACCACCTCACAACTAGTCAGAATGGTCATCATAAACAAATCAACAAAGGAAATGCAAAAGAGGATGTGGAAAAAAGGGAACCCTAGTAGACTGTTGGTGGAAATGTAGACTGGTGCAGCCACTGTGGAAAACAGCATGAATTTTCCTCGGGAAACTAAAAATGGAACTGTCTTTTTGACCCCAGCAATTCCACTGTGGCAATTTCCCTTCTCTAAGAGCTCTGAAACACCAATCAAAAAAAGAAAAAAAAAAACCACATGCACTCCAATATTCACAGTGACACAGTTTACAATAGGCAAGTGCAAGAAGCAACCTAAATGCCCACATCACATGCATGATTCAAAAGAACTCACCTGGGACTCTTACACAATGAAATTGTATGCAGCCAAAAAAAAAAAGGAGCTCCTACCCTTTGTGACAGCATGGATGGAATTAGATTGCATTATGCTAAGTGAGATAAGCCAGGTGGTGAGGGACAAATACCATATAATCTCACCTGTAAGTGGAACATAATAAACAAAAGAGAAATGCAAGAAAATATAACCAGAGACATTGAATTAAGAGCAATCTAACAATAGCCAGAGGGGAAGGGATAGGGGACATTGGAGAGAAGGGTTTTCAGGAACTCTATAAAGGACACATAGACAAAAACAAGGTGGGGGTGGAAGCAGAGGAGGGAGGTGGGCTTGGCTGGGATAGGTTTCAGGGAGAAAATGCAGACAAGTGTAACTGAACAACAATAAAGTAATTTAAAAAAGAAAACAAACAGTGAAGACCTAGCCTCCAGAAATCTAGTGCAGTCTTAGAAAACAGATGGCTCTGGCAGTCTGATGGTGGAAAGCTGCCTTCATGATCATTCTGGTTATCATCAGCAGATGGGTAGCAAAAGTAGCAGTCAAGTTCAAGAAGAGGGACAATGTGGCTAGAAGAAAAGTACCTGAAAACTTCCTGGAAGCAGCTCTCTTCATGCATACATGTTCATTTTTGTCAACAAAAAAGTCAAAGCCCAGAGTAGTTCAACTCCTGTCTTTGACCTAATCCTGCCTCCCTGCCATGTTGGCAAATTAAGACATCATTCAGAAAGGAAGGGCTGCTCCATCTGACCCCAAGACTGAGAGTTGACCTTCAGTCACACAAGGCCGTGTTCACGTGTACAAATAAAGATCATTTAGATATGATGATGTTATTGGCTTACACCAACATCATTAAACTATAAACACTACAGTCTCCTGGTGGCTCTTCAAACTCAGGATCATTACCATGAATAGATCACAGTAATGAGAGGAAAAATACATGAAAGCACTCCAACGAGGGCAATGAGGCATATTAGCATTTCTTCCCAAAAGAGCAGCTAGATCTTCCTAAGAACAGCCAGATCAGCTTCATCAGTGCTAAGACCAGCTGAATGACTTCAGCACAGAGAGAGTGACTAGAATTTAACCACCTTGGTTGACTTAGTATTCTTCCTTTGCAACCTATCAAACATTTTCTTTCTACAACATTAATCAGATCAGTTGGCAGATCTACATCTGAAGGTGGCAAGAAAGCAGAGAAGGCATCATATGCAAAGCTGTGTGTGCCACAGAAAGAGAGAGGGGACAACTCTTGTTGGTGTCTGTTGGTCTCCATCTGCCTCTGTCTGTAACTAGAGACACTAGTAACATAAGTAGGAAGTTAAATGGAAGGGTTGACATGTCTTTCTC